CTATAGATATAGATAGATTTTCTGTGACAGGCGGAATTTTACGCGGGCAAAACCTAGTAAAATATACGTATTTTAGTTATTTGGCTCTTTCATGGATTTGTTTTAATTTCCCGCAAAATCAGGCTTCAAGATGTCATCGAGTCCAAAGCTAATTATATTGTCTACCCAATAACTTTACTCTATCCCATGTTTTCTCATATCTTATGATTCTGCGTCGGTGTAAAATAATTCGGCGCAGATATCGTCTGAATATCACCTGTTGTTCGTCATAACATGACCAAAGTCCAATAAACAAGCATTAACATTTCTTAGCTCTTTTGTATAATACCTATGTATTTATCTCCACGATAGACAGGTCATGACATGGCCTCATTTTCTGATGATAAACTACTAATGGATGCATTAACAAAACATTGTCTGTTGTTTCAGTGATGTGCATATTAATAGCGCTAGTGATCTACCCGGTTTGTTTCGCCGCAGAGTTAAATTTGGGTATGTATTTGAGTGCTTTTTATCGGAACATTGGCCAGCGTCGGCTGATCGAACTTTGGTCGGGTTTCTTCTTTACATTTACGTTAAATTGTATCTACTGGAGTTTTGCCAATCAAAGTGACAACGCATTTTTTTTATAGAAATGTAAAATTCAACCTACTGCATGCATAACGTGACCATTTATTTTCTGTGCCAGAGCGGGACAACTGAGGAATAGTTCTAAAAAAAAAATCTGCGGAATTATAAAATAAAACAAAGTCTTGGGAGTTTTACAAGTTTATAGAAGATTGAATAATACAAATCAGTTAAGTAGTGGGGTGACTTCTAAGTCGTATTTTTGTATTTGTCGGCGGAACAAATTTGTTTTAGAATATCGTATCTTGTTTTTAGATAACTATGGAACTCACTGCATGATTTATTTATATTTATTATCGTTATCAACATAGCTTTCATTACTGCTACACTTAGCTGGGTTTTGTCACTCGTCCACATTTTGTTCATTTGAGAAAAATCTCTTTCGACTGGTGCGTTACTTCCTGGCAGACACATCATAACGTATTCGATAAGTATGGAAAAGTTTGTTACATCAAGTGTGTTGGTACGAAAGTGCTGGAATGCTAAAGCGGGACTTTTTGCTCTTGCGGGGGACAGCGGGACAGACAGTCTGAAAGCGGGACAGTCCCGCCCAAAGCGGGACGTATGGTCACTTGGTCACGTTATGCATGCATTACTTTTCAACTTTCGTATTAAGGCCGCTGGCACACTTCCTTAGATTAATAAAGTTCTATCGCTTCGTCTGAAGTGAGGCAAAAATCTTGTTATTCATTGTCATTATTACGTTGTGAAAAATGTAAGTACAACAAAGGCGATTTTTCCGAAATGGAAGAGTTTTATAGTTATTTATTTGATAAGGCGTTTAATTATAAAAATAAAATTTGACGAATTATTGTACTGGATGTGACGTTTCGAGTGAGCCAGAATGGTCCACTCGAGTTGCCTCGCTTTTCATGCGCGGAGTATCTTATATTTTTTTTTGTATGTACCATTATTACCATTACCATTTGTCACTAAACCATTGTAACCATGGTAACAATGTACATTTTGGCACTGGGACTTTTTGACGTTCATACTTTCTGCCACACTAACAACCGGTCCGTATAGTTCCAAAATACTGGACTGTCCTGTCGATGACATTGACAGTGGGGCGCCACCGTCAATACCGGATCGCTGGTTCAGATTTTTGCCATGTTGGAAACCATATAGTTGAACGATGGTAGCGCCCCCCTGTCATTGAGTTTGGTGGGACAGTTCAGCGTGGGTCATCTATATGGACATTTTGACACCTGCACATTCCAACCGTTGAGCGTTTTTTCGCATTGACTACCCAGTCCCTGAATGATTTTAATTAATCTATGTGTACATCACATACTCTATGAAGGTTTGATACGGACCGCTTGGTTTTTGCGCGGACCATCTATCTAGGCTTTAGTAATGTATGGGTACATCTCTATGAAGGTTCATACTGACCGCTAGCTTTGTGCGTGGCAGGTAACCGGTCGGTGTGGGAGTTTGGCTGGGCGTACGGCGTGGGCTGGGGCGCCGCCATCTTCCTCTTCGGCGCCGTCGTGCTGCTGCTGTGCGACAAGGAGAGCGAGGAGGTCTACTTCAAGCAGCGGAAAGTGAGTCACCTCATTATGTTGCACTTATTTATAACTTTTATAAGTATGTCGCCAGCAAGTGTTTTTTCTAAAATGACGAATCTTAAAACGATGATCTCCCAAATTAATGTTTCACTGTTCAAACCACAATTGACGCCAGGCTTACCAGCCGGACTAGGATGCGCGCTGAGACAAAATCTTATCGATGATTTTAGACGTCAAAATGTATGGGTTTATCGCGTAAAATCGATAAAATAGCGCGATAAAAGTATCGCGGCGCGCATCGTAAGCCTACTAGTTAGTGTGGCGACGCCACTACAAACTAGTGACCAACAGATGGCGCTGTCACTACTTCACTATGGCACACTCCGCCGCTCATACAAACCTGCATCGCGGTGACGGAGTTTTATATCCTGCCAAGTATATATAGGCAAACCAAGATGG